CAGATAGAAAAAGTCAGTTGTAAAGAGATAGAGTACTGTCTAGAGTAGGAAAACAGACAAACTGACATCCCAGCAAGACTGTTATACAAATTGGTAATGAATACAAGATTAGAAGCAAAATGAAGAGAAACAAAAGCAATTAAAAAGCTAAAACTGAAAACAGAGATCATGATTTATGATTGGATACAATTTTGGAAAAAACTTAAAGCAACTAAAGGAATACACAGCACAACAAGAAGAAGTAGTACAAGAAGATGCACATTTATTAAGTGTATGATAGATAAACTTCCAACCTTGGAAGAACTTAACAGAAGACAATCAGATATATACACAACAACAAAATGTCAAGTATGTTAAGATAAAGTTAAAGAAATACAGTCATACTTGGCATCTTGCAAAGGACAAACAAATCTTTGGAAATGAGTCCAAAAGGTAACTATCGTAACAGCCTGGAAAGAGTTAAAAGAAAAAAAAAAACCTACATCCCACTATATGTACTATACATAGCACTTTTTGGAAAAAGTGAAGCAGAAAAAATAGAGATGAGAAAAGCTTTAATCAAAGGCCTAATCTCAGAAAAGACACAAGAAAGATTAGCACAGCTTCTAAACACCAAGATAAAATAGCAGTTTATCAAGAAAGTGGCAAAGACAGTATAGAAAACATTTTATGAACAGGTTTGGAAGATATGATATAAAAAGGTTAATAAATAGAAGAAGAAAGAAGGTATAATAACCAAAATAAAGAAAAAGAAAGTCAAAAAGAAGAATCCAAAAAAGAAAAAAAAGGCAAGTCAGCAAAAGATCGAAGAAAAAAGAAAATTAGCAAAAGAGAAAAAGGATAGGATTAATGAAGAAACTAAGAAAACAATAATGGAACTTGTTATAAAAGGAAGAAGACCCTTTCATTATGAACTTTAAGTAGTCAGACAAGTGGCCTACTTCTGTTTGAAATAGTGCAGCAAGTTGCATTTAGGTACTCTTTTGGATGACCAGGTGATGCTAGACTTAGTTGTTAGATAAATCTATATAATTGCAGAAGTAATTTCAAGAATCTTAATAAAGTATTAGCGTGATTGCTTAAGATTAAAAAAAAAATAAAAAAAATATTACTTAAAATATATTTATTTATATTTATATATTTATATTTATATTTTTATATTTATTATTAAAATACAAACATGTATAACATTTGCTTTTTTTCAGATTTGTTTGAATAATATAATATTTATTTATTTATTTATATTACTTAAAATACATTTATTTATATTTATATATTTATTTATTATATTAAAATACAAACATGTATAACTAGTGTTAGGTTCACTTATAAGTTCAGTAAAATTAAACTGGAACTAAACTTATAGGTTCAGTAGTTCAGTTTATAGTCTAGTAGTCCAGTTTATAAGTTTAGTAAAGCAGACTTTTAGTTCAAAACCTAATACTGTATATAATACTTGCTTTTTTTCAGATCAGTTTAAATAGCTAAAAATACAAATTATATAGATAAGTCAGTAAAAACACAATATATTAATATTATTTTTAATAAAATGTTTTAATTAAACAAAAATAACTTAGCAAATACTTAATTAAATTTAATAAATTTTTTTAAAATAAATTTTATAAGTTTTTTAGGATTGTTTTAAAAATTTTTTTATTAAATTTAATAAAGTTTTGTTAAGTTATTTTTGTTTAAAGTTTTAAAAAAATTTACTTAAAAAAATTATAATATATTTTTTGTCAACTTATATAATTTAAACATGTATATCTATACTATTAGAAATTGACATACATTATCTAAAGCTAGACTGATAAATTTAAAAAAAAACTTTAAACAGCTATTTGTTACTATTACAAAATAGTATTGTAAAAAATTAATATTAAATACAAAAATTAGATTTAAGTATATGTAAGTATAAAACTATTTATTAATGATTGACTATAATATTTTTATTAAAATATATTTGTGTCTAAAGCAAAGTGAGAGTTATTTTGCTAGTAATATATATAATTAGTTATATATCTATAGAAAAGCTTGCAAGAAGCAGATATAATTAGACTGCAAATCAAACTAATTATAAAAATATAATTGAAAAGAATATATAATAAACTGCTAATTAATAATTTAAAACTTAATAAATTTAACTATATTAACAAAGTATTAAAAAGTATATTAAATTTTGTATACCAAATTAGTAATAATAAGAGTAAGAAACTGCCAAAGTTAATTGATCTAAAAGAAGAAAAAGTTACTACAAATAGTAAACAGATAAGTTGTATTCAAGTTAAGTAATAAAAAATTATAATATAACTAGATGACTACAGTCATACTGATAGCTAGTAATAATAATTAAAATATATAATAAATATTATAAAAATATAAAAAATTGTAAATATAATATTATATTGAATAATTATAGCTAAAAGTAATATAGTAGTATAAATATAATATAACTATATATATAATAGTAATGCAAAAAAATTAATTTACAATTTGATATTAAAAAAATTTTTTTAGTTAATTTTTGTTTATAATTAAAACAAAAAATATTTAAAAATATTGTATTTATAAAAGTTGCATTTAAAAAATCTAATTATATTAATATTTAAGAATTATTATTATCATTTTTATTTTTACTATTACTATTCTTTTATTTAATCTAATTGATCTTTAATAATTTTAATTTTAATTATTAATAAATTATATAAAAAATGATATTAGAGATAATAATAATGATATTTTAATTTTTTTTATTTATCAAATTTTTTTTTTATATTTCTTTGCTATTCTGAAGGTTTTTGAACATCTTTAGAATCTGTTACATCTCTTAAAAGCTAGAGTTATCATTCTGCAAAGATTATTAGACAGCATATAACTCTTGCATATCACTAAACTCATAAGATACCTCATGTTTCATCAAGTTCATATAACATTCTAGGTCCCTGGCCCCACAGTGTAAGATCTACTATCCTTTTTGGTCTACAGTTTCCTAACTTCATATGATCTACTAACTAGATCATTCATATATTTTAAAGTTCTTAATTCTACCATTATGTGTTCTTAAATTGGACTCTCTCAATGTTAGCATTATTTGTTAACAGATTACGCCTTATCTAGTTGTTCCCAACCCTGTGACTATGCCAGTAACTGCATTTTTTTTGTATAAATCTTGCTTTTGCTTTTAAATAAAAGTCTTCTGCAGATCTTTTTTCCAATTGTAGTCCTGACAAAATTGTTGTCACCCTTTGAACTTAAACTCATGACCTTGCAATTGAGACCTGGAAGTGCTAACCACTGCACTATCAACCCACAGGTCTATTTATCAATTTTAATTTAATTATATTAAATTTATTAATTAGTAACTATTTGACAAATTAGTCTCAATTAGTATTTCTAATTTGTATTTATTTTATACTAATTATATACTGATTTAAGCTATTAATTGGTGACAATAAACAAAAAATTTTATCTATGCAAATTTTTTTCTATCATTAGAAAAATGCTGATTCATCTTATTTTTACCTGTGAAAATATTATTGTAAAATCAGAAAAAATATATAAAGAATATTATATTCAATTTAATACAAAAGAAAATTTGAGTGCTGCCAAGGGAAAAGGAAACACTCCGTCTGATCAACGTCATATCGGGCTTTAAATTATGCGACGTACCAGATAAAACCTCTCACAATCTATAATATATTTTGGAGTTATGTACAATTGAAGCCCGCCCGACATGCCATTGATCAGACGGTCTGAATCAAATAAATTAACTATAATGCTGAATGTTCACCTTTTCCTTGGCGGCACTCATTTAATATTGTGGCTAATGCTAGAATCTGGACCTGTTTTGATACGAAATTTTGAGTTTTTTTAGGATGTTTTTTCTGGGTTGGGTTATAATTTTGAGAAGTAAGGTGTATATATGGATTTTAGCAGAGTTTATATTTTAAATCAAGACCTCAAAATCTAGCACCAGCCAATTTCAGTATAAACCACGATATTTAATCTAGTATATATGTCAGATTTAAAACTGAGTTGTGTCAGAACAAAATTCGATTCTGAGATGCGTCAAACTAAGATTATCATTTACGCGATGTGTATAATAAATGCAATAATAATTAAAATTATAAAAACAATTTATTATGTATTTGTACAAGATTTTCAAGATATCAACATTTTGGCATCAAATAAAATTTATTTTTTTCAATATTACATCACGTACTTCTCTACATTTTATTATGGATTGAATACTTGAAATTAGACAAGATTCTAACAGCCAAAATCAACACTAATGCATTGGAGTGAAATATATGTAATAACAAGGGATTTGATTCATTAAACTATTAACGCAATTAGAGTATTTATTATTTTCTGTTTGTGTCAGAAACTATTCAAAACTATTTATGGTTAAGATGTAATAGCTTCAACATAGGTCGGTCACATGTATAATTCAGCATTAGTGACACCCAGACTTTGGCTTCGACTTTTAAACATAAACCTTACCTTAAAAAATCCGAAGAATTAAGTTCGACATGTTATAACTTTAAAGGTCCAGAGTTTGATTTTTCTTAGTATCGCTTTTATAAATTATCAATTTAGTTCAACGCGAATCTTCTATTGATTCTAATTTTATGAACCACATAAGTTAGGCTAAACTATAATAACCTAGGAATTTGGTAATCCTATTTAAATAATCTTAATACTGTACTATATATTTTATTTATCTTAATTAAGATAACTAAAATCAATTAAAACTTGTTTTTTTTGGTAAATTGACATTTTTTATGTTCTTTTGTACTAATTTTGAGTCAATATTTAAAGTTAAATTAAGATATATATATTGTATACGTATCGATACATATTAAAATTTTTTTAAACCGATAAGGTTTAACGATAAAGATTACATAATTATTCCTGATTTGAATTTGATTTTCCTATAAATGTGGCATTACCATTCTGAAATCTTCGATTTTTGATTTACGTATGTTAAAATTACAACCATGAAAATAACGGATAAAATAAATGCTCGTAAATCAACAGATCCTTTCTTTTCTTTCGAATATTTTCCTCCAAAAACAGATGATGTTAGTTGAATATTAAATTTTATTATCAATTACAATTTATTTTCTTATAAATATTCCAACAATTGCTTTTATAGGGTCTATCAAACCTTTATGACAGACTTAAGCGCATGTCTTTTTTGGATCCTTTGTTCGTATCTTTCACATGGGGTGCTGGAGGTAGTACAGCAGAGAGGACGACGGAAATGTGTACCACGGCTCAAGGCCTTTATGGCTTAGAAACTTGCATGCATTTGACATGCACCAATGTTGGTGATGAGATCGTAGAAGAAGCATTGAAAGTTAGTGCTACTCTATATGATGCTGTATTCGCAAATTTTCTTAAATGGCACTTCATCCGGTTCGTACAATTTTAACAGGAGGCTAAAAACTCGGGTATACAAAATATATTAGCTCTTCGTGGCGGTAAGCATCAATTTTTAGGTGTTTTATATATAATTTGTTCAATGACTAATTTGCCATCTTATAATTAGATCCACCACGCGGTCAAGAACATTGGACACCGAGTAATGAAAATTTTTTACATGCAATCGACTTGGTAAGATTCATTAGAAAAAAGTACGGTGATTGGTTTTGCATTGGAGTTGCAGGTAAAAGAATTTTTTATAATGAATTTGAATTTATACTTAATTATTAAGCTCTATAATTATGTCATAAAAGGTTATCCTGAAGGCCATCCTGATTCTGATAATAAAGCTCAAGATTTACGATATCTCAAAGAAAAAGTTGATGCTGGTGCTGATTTTATTATCACACAATTATTTTACGATATGGATTTGTTTGTAGAGTGGGAAAAAGAATGTCGTAAAATTGGTGATCATTAATTATAATATTTGGGCCTTAAATGTAGAAAGATTTCGTCTGGTTTTGTTCAAATTAAGTAAGTAATTTGCTATAGGATTTCTGAATATATTATCGTTAAAACAAATGTGTACAAAAATTGAGATGTCTTGGTTAGATTTATCCAGATGATACCTATCCAGATGATACCTTTCCATTTTTAAGGCCTCATTTATTTAAATCTCATGTTTTAAGAAGTACATATTAACTAATGTTAATAATTGACAATAATTAGGCATTACTGTGCCTATTATTCCTGGTATTATGCCAATACAGGGTTATAACAGCTTTCGGAGAGTTACAAATCTTTGTAAAATAAATATACCAGCAAACATATCGAAAGATTTGGAACAAATTAAGGTTAATTTATATATGCATATAATTCTGTTCATCATACAATAATATTGATATTGATGTGTTTTCATTTTTAGCACGATGATCAAGCTGTAAAAGATTATGGCGTGTCACTCGCAATAACAATGATCACTACATTATATGAGCAACATAACGTTAAAGGGTTCCATTTTTGTACATTAAATTTGGAAAAATCCGTACGGTTGATATTGGAAAAAATGAGATTTGTACCAACAGAAGAAGAAAGAAATTTGAGACGTTCTAGTAAACGAAGGCCAAGCATTGGATTTGTCACTAATGACATTATTAGACAGGTGCATGAAATACTCTTGAGCTAATGTCTTAATGCGTTAATAACCTTTATGGTAATTATTAGGAACCTGATGGATCATTACCTGCCGCGAAACCTATTATATGGAAAGAACAGAGTGAAGACTATTGGGGGCGATCGGACGATTGGGATAATTTTCCAAATGGCCGTTGGGGCAATTCAAAATCACCTGGTGCTTGTGATAATTTTATTCATTAAATATTCATTTTATTGTTTGTTATGACTAATATATATCCATGCATATATTTTATTTAAGCATTCGGGGAGTTAGATGTTTACGGAGTGTCTCTGAGGATTTCAGTAAGAATTGAAATTGTTATAATTATTAGATGAGTGCTGCCAAGTGAAACCATATTTTATGCCCAGTTTCCGTCTAAGGACTATCTATCATCTGGCTGTCAATTATATTTTGTGATGAGTTGTCACAAAATATAATTGAAGCCCGATGATAGATTTTCCCTAGACGGCAAACTGGACAAAATATAATTGAGAGCCCGATGTCAGGTTTTCCCTTGGCAGCACTCATATTTTCGTGCATTTCTTCATTTGGTTAAATGTTACAAATGATTTGCAGAAAGACCAAGCTCTGGAGTATTGGCGAGAACCTAAAACTACAGCTGATATTATTCAGATTTTCAAGTCATATATTTTATGTAAAATACCTGTATTTCCTTGGTCTGAGGAACCTTTGTCAGAAGAAACAGAAGCAATTCGTCCAAATCTTATTAGACTTAATGAATTGGGTTATTTAACAATAAGTTCACAACCAGCTGTTAATGGAGTTAGAAGCGACGATGTAAACTTTGGTTGGGGTCCAAAGGGTGGATATATATATCAAAAATTTTTCGTTGAATTTTTTGTAAGCTCAGAAATGTTTGATAAATTAATCAAAGTAATCGATGATAATGGTTGGGTTACATATTATGCCGCAAAGAGGAATGTAAGTGTATTTTTTAAGTAGAACAACTAAACATACATATTCCTATAGAAATTAATTTTATTTTTGCATAGGATGAGTTCAAAAAAAATATGAGTGAAGTAACGTCCGCTGCTGTCACGTGGGGCGTATTTCCTGGTAAGGAAATTGTTCAACCAACCATCATTGAAGAAGTGTCATTCAAGGCTTGGAAAGTATGTGTAAAGTATTTATTAGTAAGAAATGATTTTATATTCGTTTTTATATCAATGATTAAAATATTTGTTTAATCAATTAAAAGGAAGTGGCTTTTGAATTATGGTCTGAATGGGAACATCTATATCCAAAAGATTCGATAACACAAAAATTATTAAAAGATATAGGTGATAATTGGTGGTTGGTTAATCTTGTGTATAATGACTATGTAAATCCAGAAGGTGTTTGGAACATTTTTTTTGGAAATGAATAAATTAAATTTGATTCTGAAAAATTATATATTATAGAACATTTGGGCTTTTATTCAATATTTGATCAACGACTTATTAAATCTGTTTTTTAACTTACTGAAAAATTTGTAATCTTATACAATAAATATTTCTTATCATATTTTATATGATTGATTATTCAAGTTATTAAAATCTCATCTCATTTAAAATTTATAAATATTTGAAATTTTCATAATTATATTTCACCAACAACTTCTTCGAGAAGTTTTCTACATTTAACTCTAGATCTCAGTTTGGCACAAAGTAAGAATGCACCTGATAATTTTCTATGTAAACTATATGTCTCATCAGGTGGTGGTGTAAGCCTATATTTCAGCATCGTGGGAATCAAATTCCTTACTTTGTTTGTAATTGTTTGTTTTGAAAAATCATATATTGATGTTGTAAATGGTTCTCCTAGTGTCAAAATAGAATCAACATGCGCATTCTTCATCACCTAAATATTAATTTACATTGAAATTATCAAATAAAGAATACAAATAATATGTTATTAACGAGAATTTTACCTCACTTTCATATCCTGTCAAAAAACCTATTTGTTCTGAATAATATGCGCAACCTTCCCTATCGCCTTTAGCAGCTGATTTTAAGATTTTTAAATAATGTTCTATAAATGTATTATCGAAACTTCTACTTGCCCCAAAATCTATTAACTCAATCTATCAAAAAAATTGTATTAATAAAAGGACTGGAAATAAAAATAATTGTGATAGTAATTAAATTGAGCCTGCATGCCTTCTTTGTCTTCTTGTTGTAGAAAAAATTGGTCCAATTTGGATCAGTCTGCATGAATTTAAATTCAAAAAGCTCACGCAAACAAAGGTATAATATATTTTCTCCAATCTATTACAAAGGACAAAAATAAAATAAATGACAAGCAAGAAAAAATTACATTATTTTTTTCACCAACCTGATCTCTTAGTTCCTGATCATACATTACAGCATGCGTTAAGGGCTCTCCCATCATTCTTTCACAAACCAAAACCATTTTTGTTGATAACTCTCTAACTACTTGTGGAACAACAAAATTTTTATCATTTTTTAATAATGTTTGAAACTTTTCCACACAATCTGCTTCCCTGATATAATCAGTTTCCCACAGTAGCTCCTTTCTTGCAACTTTAATAGTATTATCAAGATAGAGACCCTTTGGTAGTAGATTACTAACTTTTACTAAAGTCCTTAAATTGCCGAGATCAGAATCAATTGAAGCAACAATACCAGGATATTGAACTTTAATAGCTATCTTCATTTTATTTGATGCAAGCTCAGCACTATGTACTTGTCCTATAGAAGCTGCGGCTATCGGAGTTGAATCAAAATACGAAAATTTTTCCCGCCAATTTTGACCAAGTTCTGCCAACATTATTTTCTATATTAATTTTACAATTAGTAAGCACTTTTATATGTAACAAAATAATTGAATTCGAGAAATTTATAAGAAAAGTATTCGATAAATTACTTCCATCTGCCAATTTGGCATGTAATTAGCGCTATCTTGAACTTTTAATATAAGCATCTCTAATTGATCTGGTAACATATCGTTACCTACAAATAAATTTGTTATTATTATAAATTAATAAATTAAAAAATACAGTGATAGGAAAAGGTCTACCTTGAATACTCAACATTTGCCCCAATTTCAATGCAGCACCTCTCATCCTTGATAGCTTGTTAACCAAACGATCTATATTGGCTTCATTTATAAACACTGAACTAGCTGATATCAAGAAAGATAGTTGTCAAAAAAATATAATGAAGGAAAGGGTGACCTTTTATTGAAGGAAAATCTTTTAACTTTTTGCATCAGAAACACCAGTAACCCTTTTAATAGATTCACCGAGAGCACCAACTCCTAATCCAACGGCCAAACCTTTATAATAACAAAGTATCTCTTATAATTATAACCAATAATAAATAATATTGAAAATTGATGTTTACAAAAATATACCGCCATAATGGAACAGTCTAGAAACTCTAGTATTTGGCATTTTAGATTCTTTGAGTACTTTAGTCGCCTGCATTAAATTCATTAAATTGAAGTCAGAGTTAGTAAAATCAAAATTTCCTAAGAATTAAAGTTTTTATATTTGAATTTTTAACACTTACCTTTGTTTCATGAATGGTTTCTGATGACGTGTTGATAGAAGAATTTTCAAGTATTGGCGTATGGTTTGATACTATGACATTTTCATGTTTTAGCTTATCCCCAACTTCTTATTAAATAATAATACAATTCAAGATTTTTACATTAATGGAGAACTGTGGATGGCATGATAAAAAAAAAGAAATACCTTGTTCAACCTCATTAATTGGTCTATTTTGATAGACAGGTTCTTTGTATGTTGGCTGATATTTAACTGACCATCGCCAATTTGATGATTTTAAAATAATATTGGTGTTAGTTACTTGAAGTTTTAGAAAACCCGATGCTACTTTTGTACACGCATTTATAACTCCAAAAGTATCTGCGATTCTCTTTGAAGACATCTCTAATGGCACAGTTCAATAAAAGATGAATAACCACTTGATAGATTTAATTATAAATTGATAAGCTTAATTCTTAAAAAAATAAAATAAAAAAACGAATACGTACATAAGATGTTCGAATTTTATATTGCCAATTTGAGTACGTGCATATATGTGCAATGCGGATTTATAAAGATAGCAAAACTTGTTATATTTTAACAGGTATGCTTAGTAGAAATTCTTATTCTTAGAATAAGAAAATTAGTATTGTAATTTATATGTATAATGATTAAATTAGCTAAGTTAAAATATGGGCTAAGTGCTGAACAAAAGGACGAAATTGACTATTTTTAAAAAATTTTTGAGCTTAACTAGTCTAGAAACATTAATAAATTTTTTTTGCAGTATAATTCTTTAGTTTTTATTTTTTTATAGTTTATTGTAAAATTTATAATATAAAAATCAATTTTTTCGGAAAACTTTTTTTTTGTAATTTTATTCCTTTTTTTAACTCCATGTCCATATAATAGAAAAATATTTTTTTTCTATATAACATTTTTAACTTTTTATTTTAAAAAGCTTATACGTAAAAAATATAGAGACTTTGCCTTGAAAATTAAACTTGTTTAGTAATAATTTCATATTATACTTAGAGCTTAATTTGATATCTTTAGATATACTCTAAATATTGAACAACCTCTATAATTCTAACTTTTTATAATGTTCTTATTTTGTATTACTAGAAGTACTTCTAATATTCGTAATATTAATTTTTTACTATAACTATTCTTGTATTTGCTATTTCTTTTATTATTTTAGCTTTGATTATTCAAAGTTATACTTTTAAACAAGTATTTATATCTAAAATTCTAATTAGAACTCATTTGTACAATCTATTGAATATCTCAAATTAAATATCTTGCAAGTATAAAGATATTATTACTGTTTAAACAGAAAGTATAAAATATTAGTATTGGTTTATTTGTATAATTTTTTATAATCAAAACTTTTTATAATATTACAATTTTTTTAACTTTGACAGTTTTGATATTAATGTTTATTAATATTTATATACACTAAACTTGTATATATTTTGATTTAATTGTTAAGTTCAATATCTTTTAGTTGTTTTTTTAAAGATAGTTTGTTGCACTAGTTAAAGTATTATACAAGCTTAGATGTTATATCAAACTATTTTAAAAAATTATATATAAATAGTTTTAGTTATAATTAATAAATTTAAGTATACTTTAATTATAAAAGTAACATTGAATATATTTGATAAATAATAAATTAATAATAAGTTGGTTGAAAAGTTTAATATTAGAAAAATAAACAAATTAATAATAGCAATTAAGAATGTTATTAATTAATAATCTGTTAGTTAATAGGTTAGAGTTAAAAGTATAACAAATTTTTAAAACATGCTTATAAAGGCATGTTTTTGTAAAGAGCATATTTTTTATATCTATAACATGTTTTTATAAATATATATATTATATCTTATTATAATTAGCAATAGTAAACTTTAATTTTAATTAGACAATTATCAAATTAGTTAATTATATAATAGCTTTATATTATATAATAGCTTTATATTATATAATAGCTTTATATTATATAATAGAGGCATATCTTATGAGTATGCCTTTTAATCCTATATTTTTAACTATATAATAGATGCATAATTATAATATAATATAATGCAAATTACTTATACAAATTAGAAACAAAGAATAGTAATTTTAGTATAGTATTAGGTTGTTATTTTTCAAGTAACAAATTTAGTATTCAAATTCATTTATAATGAAATTTTAAAATTATATCTATAGAGGTAAATAACTTAGTAAAGTAGAAAAGTTATTAATCTCCAAGTAGTAAATTGAGTGTTTAAATTCTATTAACAACAAAAATTTAAATAATCATCTATTTAATACTTATATTATAGCAACTATTTCTAATAAGGGGTGTGGTGACCTAGTGAAGTGGATAGGTTGTCAACCCCCAAGTGGCAGGTCTAGAGTTCAAATCCCAGTGATG